TCTTCAATTTCCGCACTAAACTCTGAATTTCAACTCTGTGGACTTTTCAGTTCCTAAAAAAATCTGGGCACTTGGTTTTCTGTTTTTTCGTACTGTGTCAGCTCCCTGGAAGGCTCTTCCTCCCACCCTACCCCCTTCACAACTTCTTCTTCCTCCCCTTCCGGTTAGCTGCCTTTCTTCCAGGAAACCATCCTGGACCCTTACTTATACAGTTAGTACCCTCTCCCCCCAAGCATGTTCCTGTTGTATTTTATTTTTACCAATGGTGTCATGCATCTATGATACTGCCTTTACTCTCCAAGGGAAAAATCCTTCTCTCTCCCCTTGAGCAAGTAATACCTACTCACCAAACATGAAGCCAATCACAGGAAGAAATAATGAAGGAAGCAAACATCCCCATAATCTTTATTTCATGGTACTGGTTATTTCTGGCACATTACATATAGGCACTATACATTTAGTTTTGTGACTTTGTTTTCAATTGAACGACTTATTCGAGACATCTTTATAAGTGGGATTCTTGTTTCAATTTACAGTGGACCATTCAGTTCTACTACTGGGCATTTGGGTTGCTTCCATTTTCCCAGTATTTTAGACATTGTTGCAATGAATACCCTTATCCACACACCCTTTATACCTAACTAACTATTTCTGAAGAAACACATTCACAGAAGAATCTGTAAGGTTGGTATCAAATTATATCCCTTCCATGTTATTGTCTTTCCCCCAAATCATGAATTCTCATTTTATACATCTTTTACCTTTTAACCTGACCAGCAAGATACATTTTTGGTGGATTTTCCCTGATTACTAAAAAAGGTCAGCATCTTCATGTTTACTGAACATTTTCCTGCGCAATTTTCTATTAAGTCAGGTTCCCTGGAAGCAGCACTTGAAATGAAGATTTTTGTGTTAGTGATTTATTGAGCATGCTCTACAAGGCAATGAGAGACAGGACAGGGCAGGAGAAGAAACAGGCAAAGATATGCTTTCAGAAGTATCTCCTCAGTCTTATTCCAGCTCAGGGGCATAAATCATGCCATAGAGGCCAGAGGGTCAGGTGATAACACCCTGCATCAGGCATTGGCCATGGGCCGACCTCAAGGGGTGGGGGCATCTTTTGGGTAAAGTGACTACATCAGCTAAGGGCAATGCTCTGGGGAAGGGTGAAGATAAACCATTAGTACCCAAATCTGAAGCAGCTGGAGGGAACACCAGCCTGGTCAAAGGGATTTGGTGGACACTAACAGCACTTACTGAATTGTGTGTGTGTGTGTGTGTGTGTATATATATATATATATATATATATATATTCTTTTTCTTTTTAGAAAAGTGGGAGGCAAAGGGAGACGGAAAGAATATCAAGCAGGCTCCAGGACCAGTGCAGAGCCTGACATGGGGCTTGATCTCATGATCCTGAGATCACGACCTGAGCCGAAATCAAGTCAGATGCCCAACCAACTGAGCCACCCAGGCACCCCTCAAATTGCATGTTCTTAAAAAACAATTTATTTTAAAGCTTTTACTAATGATGCTAACTTTTCTGCTCTAAGATGCATTATAAATGTACTTCCCTAGTTGTTTGTACTTTTCTAACATTATTTTTATAGAGGGAGGGATCCCTGGGTGGCGCAGCAGTTTGGGGTTTGGCGCCTGCCTTTGGCCCAGGGCGCGATCCTGGAGACCCGGGATCGAATCCCACGTCGGGCTCCCGGTGCATGGAGCCTGCTTCTCCCTCTGCCTGTGTCTCTGCCTCTCTCTCTCTCTCTCTGTGTGACTATCATAAATAAATAAATAAATATTTTCATAGAGGCAAATTAATCAAGTTTTCACATTTTTTGGCTTTGATATCATTTAGGTTTTTTCTGACCCAAGGTTATTTTAGATAAAAAGTTTACCTATCTTTTTTCTAGTATTTTAGAAATTAAAAAAAAACACTTTAATCCACTTGAATTTAGTAGGGCATATATTGGGTAGAAGATAAGGATTGGACTTCTTTTTTTCTTAAATGATAGAACAATGGCTGATACTTAGTAGGTAACTTCTGTAGAACTGGTTCTCCTCTGAGCCTTCTACAAATATTAATCTACCTAACCCTTGTAATAGTGCCATCGGTGGGGAGAAGAGATGAAGAAAGTGAGGCACAGAGTGGTTACGTAACTTGTGTAAGGTCACAGGTAGTATTATTAGCAAGTTCAGATTTTAACACATGTAGTGTCTTTAGCCTCTGCACTTACTTGTTTTGCTGTACTGCCTTTCTCACATAGAAAACCAGTTATACAACACCACTGAATTGAAAAATTCACCATTTCTTCTTACAATTGGAATTGTTCTGGACTCCCAACTCATTGGTTTATATGAATTTCTGCACGAGTTACAGTTTTAGTTACTGGAGTCCTGCTGTACTCCGTAATATCGGATGTACCAGTCCCTCCTGTTGTTTTTCTATGAAATTTCTTGGCTATCCTCATACTTATTATTTCAAAATATGGTTTAAAATACAATCATATACACAAGCAAATATATGCAGACAGTTTTGGTTTTGTTAAATTCGTAATTTGGGGGAGAATTTGATGAACAGTCTCCTCATCCAAAAAAGTGTCTTCCAATCTTCTTTAATTTCCCTTATTAAGAGTTTTCCTCATAGAGGTACTATGTATTTACTAACTTATATCTTTGTGAATAGTACCATCTTTTAAAATGACATTTTATAGCAATTTATTGTTAACTATTACCTTTTGTATCTTTAGTTTATAACTGACCACCTTGCTGAACTTTTAAGGTTTGATTTTGTTGTAATAAATCCGTAATGCATCATGTTCTAACAAAGATAAACACGTGAAGGAAACCCGCCTGCTGCTCTTCACTAAGGACCTGCCATCATGCCTATCTATTCTGAACAGCAGGATAAGTACCTGTCCATAAACAGAAAGCTGGCACAACTGCAAATATGTAACAGATGTGCATAAATGAAGGAGCAACTCTAGTTCTAATCTTTCCCCAGTTGCTTCTTTTTTGAAGACAACAGTCACATCTGCAATAACTCTACCTTCTTCCTAACTGGAGGTCTTCAATACTCTATCTGCAATACAACTGGGGCAAATAGACACATATAAACCAGTTGGTTGAAACAGTAAACGAAGGTGGGACATCAGAAAAAAGTTGAACATATGACCCCTTAAACATTCTAGTTCAAAATATATAAATGCACACTCATGTGCCGAACTGTAGAGATCAGCATCTGCTCTGGGGAGTGTCGACCCCCTGATAGGGCATCCATTAGCTGCCTTTCTTGAGTTCCAATATCTTTAAAGAAGAAAGAGAACTGAAGACTTGAGTGAAACAATCCAAGTGTGGAATTTTTACTGCACTCCCCAAACCCCAAATCTTAGTTGTCCTGTTCACACCTATTTTGGCAGATTTTTTTAATGGCTCATCTTTTTTAAGCCTTTCAAAAGCTTGAAATTCCTGGGAATTCTTTTTTTGTCCTTCATAGTGCAACAGTTTTTGTAATTTTTAGTTGATGTATATAACTTTACAATGCTAACCACAGTAGTATAAACAGACTTGAGAATAAAGCACATTCACTTTTGGTGAGTTCAAGTGGGGTGGGGGCAGAAGTAAGCTAGTCCTGGAGGAAGTGGTGGACTCCAGCCTGTGGGCTCAGCGGTGGCCACATCAGTTTTACGGAGGGAATGGAGTTGACTAATCCATCAAAATGCTCAAGTGGAAGGCACACAAAAATGCTCTTAGAGACATCATGCTTACTACATACAATATACAAATATATAGACATACATATGTGTGTGTGAAATATTCTACTACTTGGTTTTGTGGCAGGTTTTTATTATTTTTAAAATCAGTAAGTTTTATCAAATGTCCTACTTGCACCGGTTAAAAGGATTCTGATTTTTCTCATCTGATTAATAAATATGATGAAATACAGTACATTAAAAAGAACTGAAATATCCTTATATTCCTAGAATAAATCTCACTTGTCATGGTATATTATTTTAATGTCCTCTCTTTACCAATATTTTATTTAATAATCTATATTCATAAGTGAGACTGATATAAAGCTTTTTTAAAAATTATCTTTTTTCTCAGAATACTGTTGCTTTTCTCACTGAAGTTATTTTTTTATATCAATATAACATGAATACAGACACTTGCAAAAAAGGCTACTTCCATTTAACTGAATGATTATGCTACATAAAATTTTTTTTTTCAGAGTTGGTTGAGTACAATGGTTTGATATTTTTAATACTACTATTAGGAAAATCAGTATTAGGTTTTTAGAGACTTCCAATCAAAGGAGGGAATTCTATTTCAAGAACATCATGGAGGTAAAACCAGCAGAGGAAGAGGCCATGTGTAATTTTACATATACTTTTCTCTCTCCTTCCAAAAATTTTATAGCAATTGTTTACAGAAAGAACTCTGACTTGATGAATACAAGGACAGGCTTACAATAGAAATAAGTCAACTAAAAGCCAACCCCTTAGTAAGTCTTCGTAGGCCTCAAAATAACCCCTTTTGAATGGTAAGATTAAAAAAATAATAAGCCATGTATATGAAGTGAAGCAGCAAAGCATGTATTTTTAAATGAAGAAATTTTTTTTTAAATGCAGATGCATTCCACTTTTTTTTTTTTAAGATTTTATTTATTTATTCATGAGAGACAGAGAGAGAGAGAGAGAGGCAGAGACACAGGCAGAGGGAGAAGCAGACCTCACTGAGCAGGGAGCCTGATGTGGGACTCGATCCCAGGTCTCCAGGATCACACTCTGGGCTGAAGGCGGCGCTAAACTGCTGAGCCACCAAGGCTGCCCAAGAAGAAACATTTTTAAGGAGTCTCCTCCTGAAATATCTTATTCAATTATATCTGCCGTTTTATCACTTAACACAAAAAATAAATAAACTTGTCTCTTTCTCTCAAAATATATCTAAATTAATTAAGTGGGCAGTCTTCTTTTTTACTGCTTCACTAGGTTTTGTTATTTTAATGGCTTGAATATAAAACTGTTTTTATAGACTGCTGAGTTCTAGCTCCGAATGAAAATAGTAAGTCATAAAGGTTTTGTTTCTGTTGTGGCTGATGGATTATCAAAGGGAAGAAGGGAGTGTTGACAGAGACCGGGGATTCTTTTCAGCCCTCACACTTGGCTTTCTTGCAAGCTGGAAGAGAATCCTCATCTGCTTCTGATGGCCGAGGTTTCTTCACTGTGGAAATAATTCCAAAAGCAGTTTTTCTCGTTTCTGTAAAACAAACAAGGAAACCATAGGGCTTGAAGTTAAGACATGATTTAAAAAGAGGTGGTTTAACATGTATCACCATGTTACTTTGACTTACAACATTAGTAAATGATAAAACCAGAATGAATGGCTATGGATACTGATGCTATTCATTGTTATTACCCTTTTCCCCCAATGTATATATATATCAGTATATTATTCACATCTAATTTATTCTAAAGGGTAAAACTGCAGGGCAGGTTCTAATGGTCTGTGCGTGGTATCTTGTGTAGCCAGAACTCAAGTCACAGGCTTTGGTATAGCAGATGTCTTACGTATGGTAGAAAGGCAGATGAATCAAAACAGCCCAGCTGACAGCCAACTGCATCCCTCCTAAGGTGTGCTTACTTACGTGTGCTTACTTGATCATACAGCACATACCATATCTGAGTCTCTCACTGAGTCATCAACGTACCTCCAAAGAATCAATCATATTGTACTGTCAACACCCAGCAATGCCTGGTTATCTAACAGCTGTTCAAGAAATCCTTGTTGAGTGAATGAGAAGATCAAACTCACATGTTTATTGATCTCTCATATATTAGTGACAATGGATAAAGAATGGGAATTATTAGGTATCAGGTCAGGCTGGCAGCAGAGTTCAACTTAAATCTATCCAATTTCAGCTAAAAATATACTACTGGGCCAGGCTGTGTGTCATCTACAGAAGACATTGAGATGCCTGCCACAGTGCTTCTTCCCACCACACACTGAGAATGAAAGCACATTAGGGGCAAATATAATAGGAATGGTAGCACCCATAGGAAAAAGCTCTGCTTGGATGAATCAGGAAGGTATCATAACAAAAGTGACATTAGGAATACAGAAGAAGGAAAAGGTTCCTTTGCAAAGGCATGGAGAGAAAAGAACTCAGTAAGTTAAGATGACAATAAACTGCTATGAAGGAATGTGAAAAAATTAGGGGTAAATGGGGATGGAGGGGTAGCTTGTGAAGGGCCATGATGCCATGAAAATATCCACATTTAGTCCTTATGAAATAAGGAAGGACTAGGGAGGAGAGAGAGAGAGAAGTCCATCAGCTACAAAGAAGATAGAATCAAAAGAACATGAACATAAATTCAGTTAAGAATTATTCCTTGTTGTAGTAATAAAAGTAAAGTCAATTCTAAAGCATTACATAAGCACTGCCTTCTCATTTATCAGGGTTAATTTTCCAAGTCTACTAAATCTTTGCTGGTTATTGAAAGCATTTTAATTGATAAAAGGGACAAACTTCTCTCAAGGTCATTAAAATGCCAACTTCCCTTGTCCCTTCTCTACAACCTCCTTAGAATTGCTATTCATTCGTTTCTGGAACATTGAAGGCCCCACATAATTCTGATTCCCTATAGCGAGTCTTCCAGTGTTGAATGGCAGCTAATGTGTGTCCTAAGTCTTCAGTTTCCAGGTATCCATTCCAGCACTGCTTCTGACAATCTCTCTCATGATAAGGTCTCCTCTAAGACTCTATTAACCATCTTGTGGTAGTGGTGCAGTGCACTGCTGTCCTTCTTAAAAATGTGGCACTTGGGATGATACACATGCCAGCTGGGACTTCATCAGTGTAGAGGGTAATCATGAGACTTGGAATCCCCTTGCTTCAGATTTATTTCTTCTAGTACAACTTGAGGCTGAATTAGCAATCTTTGGAATCCACCACACTGCAGTCTAATATTGATCCCAATGTTAACTAAAACCAGGACTGTCACAAAAGGGTGAATAGTAATGCTACCTAAAGTCTGTAAGGCTTCCTTTACTTTAGTTTCTATAAAAGCTTATATATATTATATATATAATAATATATATATATCTCCTCTGTTGAACAGGTGAGTTTTTTGAAGTCAAATACAGAACTTCACATTATTCCCATTATATTTTCTTTCTTTTCTCTTTCCTTTCCCTTTCCTTTCCTTTTCTTTTTCCATCTATCTATCTATCTATCTATCTATCTATCTATCTGAAAGAGAGAACACAAGTTAGGAGACAGGAAGAAGGAAAAGCAGATTCCCCACTGAGCAGGGAGCCTGAGGTAGAGCTCGATCCCGGGACCCTGGAATCATAACCTGAGCTGAAGGCAGATGTTTAACTGACTGAGCCAATCAGGCGCCCCTCCTATTATATTTTATTATTAGTTTCCCTTGGAACACCAATTGTTATCCAGAATCTGGATGATTCCTTATGTTCATTTAATACAGGCAAAAATAGGGGCACCTGGGTGGCTCAGTAGGTTAAGTGTCTACCTTCAGCTCAGGTCATGATCCCAGGGTCCTGGAATCAAGCACTGCATCCAGCTTCCTACTCAGTGGGGGGCCTGCTTCTTCCTCTCCAGGTCTCACCCCTGTGCACCTGTGCGCGCTCTCTCAAATAAAATCTTTAAAAAGAATAAAGCAGACAAAAATAATGGCAAAACAACCAAAGCATGAACCAACTATTCCCTAATTTCAAGAAAATATTGATAAAGTCCTAATTAATTTGGCCATTCTCAGAGCTTATGTGATGGGGTCTAGGCTATATCATAATCTCAAACTAAAAATGTTGAAAACAGAAACAAAATCATCTAAGTTATGGTAAGTCAATACAGGAATCAGTTCTTCCAAGTGGAGATCAGATCATTAAAATCCAGACACAACACAAGGCCTAAATAACTCACCTATTCATATGCCAGATAACCTAGTTTACATGTTGCCCTGTTCTGAAGTTTAAAATTCATCTAGGTGATAGCAAGTAAACCATTTTGTGACCACTACTACTAGAGCTAAAAATCACAGAGAGAATGAAGATAAAACAGCATATTCAAAGTGTAAATATTTTTCTTTCTTTCTCTTTCTTTCTTTCTTTCTTTCTTTTTCTCTCTTTCTTTCTTTCTTTCAAGTGAAGGAACAGAGACAGCAGGTTTTGAAGATTTTATTTATATATCTATTTATTTGAGAGAGAGAGAGAAGAGGAGGGAGGGGCAGAGGGAGAGGGACAAGCCAACTCCACACTCAGCACAGAGCCTGACTCGGGGCTTGATCCAACGATCCTGAGATCATGATCTGAGCTGAAATCAAGAGTCGGGTACTTAACTGACTGAGCCACCCAGGCATCTCTTAATCTTTTTCTTTTAATAAAACCCTATTTTCATTCTCTAAAATCTTGGCATATCAAATAATTCTAGTTTAATTTTTATCATCTAATTAGTAAGAAGTTCAGTGGCTTTAAGTAGTGGAATTAAGGTGAGGAGATAGATATATGTTAATGAAATGTGAGTAAAAAATATACAGTCTGCATATAGTTGAGCATGTAAACAAAGAAAAATGAGAAAAAGAACAATGAGTTGTAATAAATGTGAAAAGTTTACTACTTGAGTTTGTAAGTTTGTTAAAATGTATTTGCTACTTTTGTGTTCCTAAAATGGCTTGAAACCAACTTTTCATTTTTTAGTTCTTGAAAACTGATTTTCAACAGGAGAAGCACGCCTCTCTGGAGAGAAGCAGGGAGAAAGGGAGATTGGAAGCCTCCCAAAATGTGGACAGGGACACACATGCAGAGCTTGAAAGACACATTCGATACTCATTTCTGTAAAGCAGACTGTGTTCACTTCACAGAGTACACAAAGTAAAGCCTAAAGGGTGAAAAGCACTGATAGGTAGTTAAAACAGGCTGAGCAAAGATGGTCCTAAAGGAGTTTGCAGAGCAGGAGAGTAAAAGTAAACTTGGCTCCATTGTCTGACTTAAAAAGACTGGTTCCTAACAGGGCCATTTGGTGTTTTTTATTGAAAGAACTGGCTCACCTCCGTGCAGAAGCGCTGCTCGGCAGTTAGTCGACACTGCAGCCTTGGCATCACTTTCAGACAGCCCAAACAGCAATCCTCTGGTGGGGTCATTAAAGCTTTCAACCCAGTGTCAGACAAGGACACAAGACTAACAGAATAACTGCCAACTCCAGCTGACCTGGCCATACCAAGACAGACCTTTATTCTACAGCAGTTCTTAGCCTGAATGGAACAGGCATCTATGGAGAGACTCGCTCTAAGCTTTTATAATATAGAGTCCCTGTTCCCCTTTTTCTATTTCACCCTTAATCCAGAAAATAAAAGGATGGAACTCTACAAAGTATGTAATTTGTTTTTGACGGTTTTAATCGGTAAACTTACAGTAAAATTAAAAAAAAAAAAACCTTGTTAAACTATAATATCACAACAAATTCCAAATTTCCTAAAATAATACTTCAACAACTTATAACACATAAAAGGATACAGGTTTGCCACATCGTATGGGCCTCTTATTTCTAAAGGCTAAAATAAAGTGAACAAAAAATAGGAGAGAAGTTATTCATAACATTTCAATGATTTCATTTGTAATAAATTAATAGGATGCTTAAGTAGTAAAAAAATAAAGGAGTCAACTACACCAATTTAAGTCCTTATAATTTTGATGGTTTTCTTGAGTTTCTAAAAGAACTCTAAAAGCATTTTGTAACAGCATAAAGAAAAAACTTCACATAAACCTGCAGACCAAGAGAAATGGAAATACATTTTACTCTTCGGCAATTGCAGTGAGCACATGCAGTTCAAAATGAAAATAGGCAATAAGCGTTCATTACATTACTAATCATTTTTCCTCTAGAAGTGTTTCAAAGTTTTATAACTTGAAAAGTGAAAACAAAGTAGTCAGTCCAGACTTACCCTTTCTGCAGCACTAGATATAATCACATTCTGCAAAATAGAGAGTGATCAACATTAATCTCAGATAAATGTAAAAAAAGTTGAAAAGTCTTCTAATACATATAGCCAGTAATCACTTTTTAACATTTAAGGCTCTACAAATACCAACTTCTTTTAAAGATAAGGGAAGGAATCAAAGTCAAAGAAAGACCTTAGGACCAACAGCAGCCTATATAACAAGAAACAGAATAAGCCTTTCCACCAGATTTTACAAAAGATGAATTCATTTAAAAAACTAGTTGAAAAGGTCATATAATCTTAATTCAGTTTACTGATGACAAATAAGTGTTATTGAGACCATTCTTTTCATGGTAGGTAAACTACAAATTCCTTATTGGAAGATAAAGGGTTTCAACACATCTTCCCCACCCTACCCCCCCTTGCATTTTTTTTCCTTTGATATTTTTCTTTAGAACTTGCAGGGCTCCTTGACATGGCATAACTTGTTTCTGGACCTTGAGAACTTTCTGCTTGCAGGAAAAGGAATCAATTAAACAATTCCAGTAATGTTAATAATAATAATAAACTGCTAGATTTGAAAACACCCTGAAATTAGGGAACCATACCTTTCCTTTGCAAACTTGCATCAAATTGAGGGCATTGGAAATGGTGTACCTTCTCATTGTGGAATCTTTGATAGCAGGGCTGTAGACAAGTTCAAAGCACACACCTCGGTCAACTGCCTTCACGGGAGATAAAGAAAATAAAGTGTCCAGGATAAACACACGCTGTCCTACTTTATTTTCATGAAGACTCTCCCTCATCTCCTTCCTCAACCCCACCATCCACCTCTTGCATGTCAAGGTATAGCCTTAAACAAAAGCAGATTCATGCCTGAAGACACCATCCACAGGAGAAGGCAGACGTGTGGCTCTATTTGATCAATAGTTTCTCTCAGCTGTAGGGAAGCTGACTTTATATAAACAGGAATCATGAGGAGGCTATGGAGAGCAAAGTCCCAGTGGGGTGGCAGATGGGCCTTCCTCTTCTTCCCTGAACTATTAAAAGGAAAATGGAGATGTGCTCCCTACACTTAGGGTAAACTGTTCATAAACACATAAACCAAAGAAAAGTAATAAGACCCAAGAACGAAGAGACAGAAATGAAGAGCTGAAAAAGCTCTAGGAACAGAGATGGGAAGGCCCCTCAGGTAAGTCAGTTATTACAGACATTAAATGAAGGAAGTACTATGTGTCAGGTACTGTGCTAACAGAGTCTCATGTACTTATTTAACCCTTATGATATCTTTATAAGGCATTGTGGCAGAGACAGCTAACTCCCCCCAATATCTGTTCTCCCCTCCTTTTTTACTAATAGAGTCCCTGAGTTTTGGCTAGGCTCATGGATGGAAGAAACCTGGGTTCTTGACAATTTCATTCAGCTCACCAGACAAACTTGGTATTTTACATGAGAAAAAGAAACTTCTTTCCTTCTTAAGGCATTCTTAATAGGTAGGCATCCATAGGTAAGAAAACAGCCTGGAACGTGTGGAAACAGAATTGAAATCTACCACTATACTGTCCATCTTTTCTGAGGAACAACTCAGTATCTTTATCCATCCACAACAGATATGTGTTCAGCCAACCTTGTGTGGAAATGGTGAGCAAAAGCTGACAAGGTTCCTCCTGTTTCAGAGCTTATAGTTTACTAGGGAGCCTACCAAATAACTGCACAAAAAAATAACATTTCAACTGTGCTAATTAGTGCTATTGAGGAGTTTAGGAGTCGATGAGGAAGAGACTGAGAAAATAGTAGAGAAAGGAGCATTTTCATAGAGGAGGTCATGGGCTGGGGAAGACAGAGTCCGGGGGCCCCCTGTGGTGGCAACAGAAGCTAAGAAGGATGGGAAGGGCCAACTGTGCAGGTCTTTAGGACTGGAGGCAGCACTCATTTTAGCAGGGGGAAGCATCTGAAGGATGCTAGCATGGGCAAGGCCAAGTCACTTGGCTGCAGTGGTCTTCTGAATGAACCAAGGAAAGACAGCGGACACAAACCAGGCAGTACTGGGCTGCCAGTCCAAGTCTGTGCCTGGCGGATGAGTTTCTATTACCCAGAGGATGAGCTGGGAGTGGTCAGCTGTGCTGCTGGAGGTCTCTCCTCCTGAATGTTCACAGGGAATGGAAAAACCCGCCTTCTTCCAGCACCGGCAGCCCACCTTGATTTAACTCAGGTATACGTGGAAGGCTCCTACTTCCCCCCCCGGAAGAGAGATTTCCTTTCTCCCATCTCCCAATCTTCTCTTCCTTAACTTTTCCTCTTGCCTTAAGGCTCTGAGATTTTATTGTAGATTTCCTTACATATCTTAGTTAAAATTCACATGCTATTTTCCATACTGCAACCTTCCCTGACAACTTTTTCCCACCTCTAATCCTTGGGCTTGTGTTGATTATTTCTGGGAATGATGTCTGATATTCTTTGTGCCATGAAGTATACCTCAGTCTCCCTGCCTGTGTGATACACTTCTTGAGAGCTGGTGTCAAGATACTTCTTTGTAACACACAACTGCCTTTTATGCAAAGAGTGTTTAATATATTTATATTCTGAGTAGATAAATAGTAGCTTCTGGAAAAGAGGTTATGTAAATAGTGCTATTCACTAGGGATTATTCATGTAAAAGAAACCAGGATGAATTTGGCTAATTATTCAACAGATAAACCTAAACACTTCCTTCAGCCATATTCTCAACTATTCCCTTGGCTACTTCTCTACCCAAACTACTAATTAGTCAAAGAAGCTGACATTTTTTCAACATCATTCTATTTACTGAACTAAAACACAAGGCAGTAGGATAGAGAAGAGGGGAAATAAAAGATGTGGATGATACACTGAACTGGGAGTGGGAGACCAGGTCATAAAGTATTCCTAACAGTATCTAAAATTTTACCTGCCCCGCCCCCCCTGGGGTTGAAATAAAAATAATAACTCCTCTCTCTTTCTCTCTCCTTTTTTTTTTTTTGGAGGGAGGAGAATGACAATTATCAGCTTAATTGATTTTGCTCTTAGTACATTAATCAAGTTCACTATTAAACAGCTAAGAAAAGTCTGAGACAGAGAAATTATACATAATGCACTATTGAAGGTTGTGAATATCTTTCATAATACCATATTTTAAATTTTTTAGATAGATAAAATACAGATTCATTACCTGGGCCTGCTTCTAAGACCATTCTAATGTAAATTGCTTTAAGCTCATCAAATGATTGTTCATAGTTCATAACAGCCTCTTCATAAAGAATGACAGTGTCTGCCTGATTGGCTTTTGTTCACATCTCTGACCAACGTTCTGGAATAGGCAGATGATCAGATTTACTAATGAGAAATAACAGTTATAATGATGCTACAAGCCAAGGGCAGGTGTGTAATACTTGAATCAATAAAGACTGGTGGTAAAATTCCAAGAACTAAGCAAAGCTTAAAATGACAGGAAGAAAATAGAGAGTTGATTACTAGGACAATATGCAGAGTCTCTGTTAATTTCATAAAAATTCTTTATTGAATTCAAAAGGATTCAACACCCTTTTGGTAATTATTATTTAAGACACGTAATTTGTTCATCTAATTCACAAATGAAAGTAACATAAGAAAGCAATGAAGTCTTACTTGTACCTCTGCTCACATTGGCCCCATCCCTACCTCCCCTTTCTAATCATTTCTGTGTCTTCTTCCAGTACAGTCTTATTCTTCTTCATACAAACACAAGCCAAATATGAATATATATTATTTTTTCTCTCTTACCCAAAAGGTAGCCTACCATATTTTTGGTCTGACTTGAGGGGTCTTCCATGTCAGCTCCATAACTTCTGCATTCTGTGTTATAGCAGAATGGTATTTCACTAAAGAGCTATGGCATGTAATTAACCAAGCCTCTACCAATAGGCTTTGGGTTGTTTCAATATTATCTGTAGAATAAACACTAAAGTGGGATTGCTGAGTATTATGGGTTGAGTTGTGTCCCCCTTCCCCACACTCCTAAAAAGTATGCTGAAATGCTAACCCTCTGTATACCTTAGAATGTGACCTTATTTAGAAACAAGGCTCTTGCAAATGTAATTAGTTCAGCTGAGGTTACTGGAGTAAGGTGGACCCGATCCCAAGACTGGTGTCCTCACAAAATGATGACTATGTGAAGACACAGAGATATACAGGCAGAACACAGGAAGAACACACTGTGAGGCAAAGTCAGAGACTGTGGAGTCATATAGCTGCAAGCCAAAGACCACCAAAGATTACCAGCACACCAGAAGCCAGGAAGAGGCAGAGAAGGATTCCCTTCCGGGATTCCCTTCCTGATAATATCATTTCAGACTTCTAGCCTCCAGAAGTGTGAGACAATGAACTGCAGTTGTTTTAGGCCAACTAGTTTGTGGTGCTTTATTATGGCAGCCCCAGAAAACTAATATACAAGGTCAGAAGGTCAAGCGATTGTAATTTTATTTTATTTTATTTATTTTAGAGTTAGCTATATTTTATTTTAATAGATGTATTTTATTGGAGTTCGACTTGCCAACATATAGTATAACACCTGTGCTCTTCCTGTCACATGCAGTTGTAATTTTAAAGGTTGTTGCCAAATTATCCACTTCCCCATAAGGATTTTCCAATTTACATGTTACAACAACGTATGAGAATGTCTGCTTTTCCTCATTCTTAAGGCAGACTGTATCAGCAAACTCCCGGGTTTGTGCCAATCAATTAGGTGATTTTAATGTGAATTCTTCCCATTGATGAATTTAAGTATCTTCCATTTGTGAGGGCCATTTGGATTTCCTTTCCTGTGAAATGTCTTCTCACATTCTTAACCCATTTTTGAGGATTGTTCATTCGTGTTTTTTAGCTTTTCATTTTCTAAGAGCTTTTTATACATTAGGGAGATTAAACTTTTATCTTTGATACATATGAAAATATTTTCACCAGTCTTTTAACTTTCTTTGTTTTTTTTCTGCCACACAAAAATTGTTGGTACCACCAAGTTTGCTAGCACTGCTCTAAGCACTGGATCGATAAAGCACTCAACACACTGAGGTTCACAATATGTGTGATGAAAAATAAAGTTTATAGAGCACTCACACCCAACACAAGTATATATGGCATGATTCCTAGAACAACTTCACTGCTTCGGGCACTATTTACTGGACATTTCTCAGTGGGGACTAACTGAATCATAAAGACAGAAATGGATTATAGTTAAAGGAAGTGCTGAGAGGAAAACATCAGGGAGTGTAACACATATAAACGCTGAAATAACTCCATAAACTTGAAGTCATTGTTGAATGGCAGTAACGCTGAAAAAAATCAAAGGGAAGATAAAGATATGTGTGCTTAGAAAAAATTCTCAAAATCTGAATTCCTAAAGATCATGTTTTGAAATACAAAGTTAGTCTATGCTTAACAAAGAGCTCTGCTGTAAAGTAATTTTAAATAGCATTTCCCAGTGGGAAATGACATTGGATTTAGAATCAGAGCTTGAATGCAATTTCCAAGTCAGCTTTTGAGAGAAGTGTGAGCCACAAACTACCTGAGTCTTGACTCTTCATCTGCATAATGGAGATCATTCACATCTACCCACCCTACAGCTGCTGGGCTAGAGCAGGTTGGAAAGTGCCTAAACCATAGAATAAGGAATGAGAAGTCATCTGATTGTCCAAGAAGAGGCGCTGAATTCAATTTTTTTTGAAACCCAACTCTCACATGATAAGGCTGTAATTTCCATAGAACTTGACTCTAGAAGAGGTTTGTAGATTTTAGAGGGAATTACATAACTGATATCATGCACGTGATACCGTAAGCATGTGATGAAGACAACTGAGGCGCTGTGAGCTCTAAGTTGTATAAATGGAGTGCTCTGGTGTGCTGCTCTAGCTCCTGGGCCCTCCTTCATAACCGTAACCGTCATTGTCTTCTAACATTTTTGTCTTCTAACTATATTTACTGACAAATATAATTGTACATATTTAAAGTGTACAATCCAATGATTTGATACACATGTATGTTGTAAAATGATGACTAAGATCCACATAATTTGCACATACATCACCTGACATAGTTAATGTAGTCAATTTTTTTTTTTTTAAGAATGCTTAGGATCTATTCTCAACAACTTTCAAGTACACGACCCTGTACTATTAACTACAGTCACCCAAACACATTAGATCCTCAGAAGTTATTCTTCTTGTAACTGAAAATTTGTATGCCTCTAACCTTCTGAGCTGACAACTGTCACATGGGTTAAGGCCTCTAAGTAAAAGACTAATGAATTAATGTTCCTCCTTTTCACCACCACAAAAGAAAAGGGTACAAATCCTATCCAAATAAAGATCTATGTCCAATAAAGTGATCCTTATAAAGCCAACCTATCAACTTTTAATGGCCAAAGACAAGTTTACTCTCAAGTCCACAGGGCATACAAAAACTGGGACTTAAGACTTAACTGTTACCCACATTTACCACATGTTCTATACTTCCACGGTGAACATATTTTCATGTTTTAATGTAATCACACAGCTCCATATCTATAATAGATATTAGATACAAATAATACATACATATCCGTACAATACTTATTCACCCTAAACAGTAAGCTAGCTTCATGTTTCCAGTTTTCTCTTTCAAATGAAAAATGCTTGGTAAATAAATAGGGACTTTTCTGCTTCCTGACCAGTTCACACCACAGCCTACTTCTATACTAGATGAATACTAAAAATAATCTTGCACAGCCTTTCCTTCCACTCCATCATCTAGTTTTTATTAAACAACATATGTAAAATGTTCACACCAGATTTTTCAAAAGGCAGACACTGCGTTAAATACTGCATATCCCTCTCGCTTGTCAAATTTTTACTTTTCAGAATTCTTAAATTGAAATATATGGGAATTAAGCCAAAGATATCCATCAAACAGCAGTTTTCCTGAACATACAGCTGGGACTGGAGGGTGGGTGGTTCTACTGCCACTGTCCCTGATGCCATCCTGCTCATGCTGCCCTACTGCCCCATTTCTCTCCCTGTCTATGCTCCCTGCCAGATGCTGCAACTAGCTGAAGACATGACAGGCAGGATTTGGCTATGTTCCCCAGAGTGCACTTTGATATACTAAATTAGACATATATTTGTTTAATTGACAAATTTTAAGGAGCATCCATTATAGGCAAGATACCTGGGTATTAAAAAGGCCTACTCCATAGTTGGTGTGCTCTAGCTCACAATCTGGATTGAACAGTTAGGGCATGTTTGTAAGAAACTGAATGAAAACCCTTGCCAAGACAGCCACTGAGAAGCTCACTACTGCTGTAGGACATAAGGAGTATGTGCTGGGTACTGCTGTCCGTCCATCCTATGGACTTGGCCTTAGCATCACATGCTACCGTCTCTTCCCAACCAAGGACACAGAACCCTATGTGGATTTACTCAGGCAAAGGAGTCTAGAAAATGGCTTTCCTTGTACATTAAGACAAAGAGAAAAGTAACAAAGCTGCAGGTTAAAAGCAATTTATAGAGTGGCTGCACCCCCTAACTCCAGAAACTAGACTGGTAGTTTGAGGCTGGTAAAAAGCCTTGGCAAACTTCTAAACAGAGATTATTACCTCTGGAGAGGAATAATATGTGAGGCCAATGAGACTGCCATCACTTCGGGTACTGTATTAGTTTTGTCTTTCATCGCAGGGACCTGGAGCATCTCAGAGATCTCATCTGATAGAGTATCAACCAGAAGTGTCCCAACCCCGTGACTGATAAGCTGAATGGCTTCTCCTTGCTAGCCTCCATTTTACCACATTTCTTAGGTGAGCTGCTTAACAACATAGATTTCCAACTTGAAAATGTGATGAGTTGGGGTTTTTCTTTTTAAGGGTTTATTTATTTATTTCTAAGTACCAGCAAGAACATAGAAAACAATGTCTTGAGCTTAATAAATACTGTTTTATGTTAGGTAGCACTCTCTGTATCAGAAAAGAGCTGGTTTAGAGTTTTCCCTTTACATATATGACTTTAAAATTTTTTGACTGCTTTTCAAGTTCTTTAGTAGCATATTTTTAGGGGTGGAACATAAGCCAACTTAAATTTTTCCACACAGATTCAATTTCTGCACCCCACATAGATCAATGTTCTGTCTCCCCCCATTCTTGGCACTGGGCCAATTCCTTCGCAGCAGCGACAGCGAAACAAAGCTCTAGGAAGTTGTGATCCTATAGAGACAGAAGAGGGGAGTTCTCGATCTTGAGAAAGGGCATAAATTTTTAATTTTCCAATTCTGACAGGATTTGATATGTAACCTGGACTATCTGCGAAACCCTTTGTCTCCTTCAAGAGGAGTTTTTGAGAATGGGAGGGCAGGTTTGGAAGCCGCTATTCTAAAACAGCATCCTCACCCTTCCAGAGGATCGGCTGCCCCTGCAAACAGTTGACAGTCCTACTGACCTGGCAGCCACTGATCTGAAGTACCACCACCTTTATGATGGAAGAAGACTGGCAGGAAGGTGTGACAGATGGAAGATAAAGGGTAGGGAAAAGCAAAAGAAACTATGTAGAAAGGTAATGAGAAGAATTCTATTGCAGAAGGAACAAAAACTTCCCGGAACACATGGCTACTCTCTTAGGTTGTTGTAAAAGTAACCCTGGGCTTCTGTGGGAACCAGCAGGTTTCAGCACAGATTTTCATGTTGCTTGGACCTTGCCCATGGTCCCGCTCCTTCCTGTTGTCCACCCTCCGTGCTCGCTGTCTGGGGATCCCTCAACATACTTTTTCCCCTATCTCTTCTTTCTGGACTGCTCTATCCCCTTAATATTCAGTGCTCAGGCACTAAGTATCTGCCATTACGGCTATCCTCTTAAGAAATATCCTTCATCAACTTTGGTTTGTAAGGCCTTTTAGAAACATCTTAATTTACTGGAGTTTTTAAGTTTCCATTCTACCTTTAGGCAGCTTTCAAAAATAAAACCCTCTTTTCTAAACTGCCTATTTATCACTTAACCTTCGTTTTTTCCTTCTCAAGAACGCTAGGTCCTTTTGCCCCTTTTCCAACTTGTTAATGTGGGTTTGTGTAGATTCACAGGGAGAAAGAGAAGTATAACACTTACCACATTAATAGGGGGTCTTTTGAAGTAAAACGGTAGTTTCTCTGTTACAGTTATGCAGACTAAATCCACATCTAAATGTGTACAAGCAACCTGTCAAGAAGAAAAAAAACCCAAACAGGTAAAGCCAAAAGAAAAAATGGCACACGTTTAGAATGGGAGATATAGTCAAACCCGATTTAGATAAATATAAATAGACATGGTTTGCTCCATGGGCATCATAATGGTTCTGTGTTGAAGTGTATTTGTCAGTCATGAGCCATTCCTTCACATTTGGTTTGAATGGTTTAACTGTAATCTAGCTGGAGCACAGTGGTATGTCCATGGATCATCTCAACAGAGCCTAGAGATCCTGTAACTCATGGTCCTCCGTAAGGATGGGTTGCTAAGAGAGGCTCAGTTTCTGGAAGGTTACTTCAGATTTTTCCAGAAAGAGGCAACTAGCTGTTCTGAAATTCAAGAAAAAACATAAGCCAAAGGAATATATGCATGGTCCATTTATTCCACAGATTCTTTATTTTTGTAGCACACATTGTCCCAGGCCTGGTGCTCCTATCAGACTAATGAATGGTTGGAGGAATACTAACATGGCCCTACTGATGGCATTTTGTTCCAACTCTAAGAGATAGAGTCTGCATAAATGGTCAAAGCAGAGCTTACAAATCAAATGATACTGAATGTATTTTTTCAGCTTTTAATTTCCCTTTCCTTTGTTCTAATTTTTGTTCTTTTAATTGATCAATACTTTCTTTGGATTGACTTCCAAAAGAGGTTTGAAATGGCTTACAAAGAACACAAACATACAAAAGAAAATGAATAGATAAGAAAACAGGGTAAATGGAAAATCAGGGAAACAAAGCTGGGAAAAGATTACGAGCATAATAGTAGAAGCCAAACCACTGCTAGAAGATGCATATCTGGCTCTGATTTGGCTATTACTTTATTTATAGTGACAGAAAGAATTGGCTGTTTTGTACTGTATTAAAAATAAGCCTGGACAGCCCTGGTGGCGCAGCAGTTTAGTGCCGCCTGCAGCCCAGGGTGTGATCCTGGAGACCCGGGATCAAGCCCCACATCAGGCTCCCCGCATGGAGCCTGTTTCTCCCTCTGCCTGTGTGTCTCTGTCTCTCTCTCTCTCTATGAATAAATAAATAAATCTTTTAAAAAAATAAGCCTTACTGACAATACTGGTGTATACAGGCCTGATGAACAAATTAAAAATGCAAGGTTGGCTATGCTGGCAAACCAACATCAAGGCTATAGACAAAGGAATGGCAGAGTGAGTGAAGAGAGGTAAAGAGCAGGTAGTAATATCCCCCATAGGATGAGCTTGGACTTTTAGTAGTAATGGGAATGTCACATCTTGTCTCTTTTCTTCAGAATTCCCACTTTGGTCATTGCTACCCCTACTCCAGGGCTTTAGGAAGCAAGCAATGATCAGAGGCTGTCTGGCTTTAGACAGTCACAGTAACTTAGTAAGCCTGGGAAGTAATGCTGTTTTGGCAGGCAGAAACACTTGGCTCATAAAAAAATCTGGCCATCCCAAGTGCTATACAGCTGTCCACCTCATAAAAGACTCACTGAAAATTGGTAAGAATGAACAAAAAGCTCTGAATACAAGATAAAACAAGTTCAGCTTCTGGTCATCATTTTTAAGCCATCAGAACAACAAAGATCCAAAAGTTCAGTAAGCCACTGCTAACAAGAAAATGAGTAAACAGGCACTTGCAGGGTCTTTAAATCAGTGGTGTCTTGAAAAGCATTTTAGAAGTAGGCATCAAAAATTTAAATGCACACATCAGCAATTTCACCTGTAGGAATGTATCCTATAGAGAGCCTCTAGAAATATATTCTATAGCCATATGCCCTACAAATTTTCAAGAATATTAGTGCAACAACAGTCATTCCAATACCAATCACAAGACTAGACACAACCAAATATCCCCCTATTTTACTTTAAAAAATTATAGTCCCTTTATACAACAGAACATGCAGACTCCCTCAAGGGCATGAGGTACATCTCTAATTGATATCATGGAGTCTTATACACTGTTAGGTAAAAAATACACTGTTCGGTGAAAAGAAAAGCATGGTGTTAGGGAGGAAGGATAGAGGGAGGAAGAGGGGAATGAATGAAGGAAGGATTATGTAAATAATTACTCCTGAGAAAATACACAGAAACTATTAGTAGTGGTTGCCTCAGGAGAAAAGGGAGAGTGTCAGGTGGGAAGAAAGTGTACTTTTCAACACACATCCCTTTGTACTGTTTGAACTTATTATCACTGTTTCTCATTTAAAAAAAAAGATTTTTTAAAAAGTCCATTAAGCATTCTTCCCCAGAATAAAGCTAAATTAGGTTACTTTCTAATTTACGTATTGCTCATTCCCCCCCTCTTATATAGCTATTTAAAAAAATATATACAGCTTATGTAGCTTATAGCAGCTAATTAAAAAATTTCCTTTGTGTTGGTGTAAGTACACGTTACAATAAACATTCAATTACAAAGGACAGCTCCACTTGGCTCCCTCTAATACTTCAAACTTAAAATGTCTCTAACTGAATTCTTTTGTTATTTAACTTTCTATTAATCCAAATGTTTGGGACACCTGGGTGGCTCAGTGGTTGAGCGGCTGCCTTCAGCCCAGGGCGTGATCCTGGGATCCCTGGATCCAGTCCCACATCGGGCTCCCTGCATGGAGCCTGCTTCTTTCTCTGCCTGCGTCTCTGTCCCTGTGTGTGTGTGTCTCTCATGAATAAATAAATAAAATCTTTAAAAAAAAACCCAAATGTTTAATTGACATATTTAGAGAACTATAAAATAAGAGCTAATTTTACATTATAATGACATACTTCCTAAATCACTAAAACAGATTAAATTATGTTCAAATAATATTTGCAGTTAAGAACCTTTTGGCAAGTTGCATATGAATTCATAGCAATTGATCTTCACTTTTTTGGGCCAAGGACTCTTATGAGGATTTAAGGAAGGCATATTCCCCAAACTTCACATACCTACAAATACATTTACTTTAGATTCTACAGAACTACGGGAACAGGAGGGTGGGAGTTCAGTCTCCCCCAGAGTCCCTCCCTGGGTGTCAGGCTAATACATATTGGTACTTTATGACAAATAATATGCAAGGGAGGGCTAGGCTTACCCAGAGAAAAGAGAGATATCCATAAACAGTACCTCTCCATCTGAAGTGTGTGTGTATATAAATTCCCCTGAAGAATTTATTTAAAATGGAAATGATCAGGCCTTACTCCCAGGAATAAATTCAGTAGTAAGTAGGGCCTAATAACCTACATTTTAACAAACAGCCCTGTCACTTCTGAAGCTGGTGGAGCCAGCTTGAGAAGCACTGCTTTGAAAGGTACACCCTCTCCTTAAGAACCTCAGGCATTGCGAGCATATTCTACACCAGTGCTTTTAGAGGGTTAAGGCATGGATTTTGGAAGGAAGAAGAAAACATCTTCTATTTCCATTTATTTTTTTAATTCGTTCTCTTAAAATTTATTTTGTGTGTGTACATTATTTCATAAATCACACGGGTATAGAACATACTCATAATTTATAAAATAAACAATGTATTGGGGATACAAGCTCAGTATTTTTTTAAATTGATAAAGTCAAAGGACTTTGAAGACCACTGGACTAAATAACTTGAATTCTCTTCACCCTGTTGAGTTGCTTTAAATCCTAAATGGGAGTAACTAACTCAGAAGTTCCTGAAGCTTCTACATAATGCTGTCTGCCAAATTCCACTGCCATCTCTCATCCCAAGAAGCCCTGGCTAATGGACTCCCCTTACAATCTTTCATCTCTGCTCTATTCCCTAGGGTAACTGTGGAGAGGGAGGGTTTATCCATGAGACATCTTCCAGATACTCTGAATGGAAAATCATATGTTATTTCCAATGGAAACAATGTTATTTAAGGTGGTTTGATTTTAAACACTAATTGTTAACATGTGTGTGTGTGCGCGTGTGTATGCTTTTATGTCTCATTTTAGAGACCTTAGTTTTAGCGTATCACGTCTACAGGGACGCTTGTTTAAATTCTAGATAATCTACTTAAAAACCAAACAAATAAAATCACTTATAGAATACAACCTGCTAAGTAACCAATTAAGCAAACCTGCATTTGACCCAATTCCAAACCATGATATACTTTTAAAACCTTTATGATTAAAAGAAAAATGTCTTTTAAAATTGATTTTCAATAGAAAACAGGGAGAGTGCTTTGTGTCTTAATGAAAGGGGAAAATGTGGACAGATAAGAGGAAGATGTTTCAATTTTAAAAATTGTTTCCATGTAGCTTTCTGAGTATATATGCACAGTCAATTCCAAGCAAATACCTTGTGTGTTATTTATAGCTTTATTCCATTTTCCAGAGTGTTTCTTACAGTTCTACCGACCATATAAAGCATGTGTTCATGCTTTTGAATTCACACTTTTGAAAAATCTGAGAAAAACAAGTACAGCTGACCCGTGAACAACATGGGGCTGAGGGGTGCTACCCCACTTAGTAAAAAATCCACATACAACTTGATTCCCCAAAAACTTAATTTCTGTTGACCAGAAGCTTTCCCGGTAACATAAACAGTTGATGAACATGTTTGTATGTTGTATGCATTATATACCATATTCTTACAACAAAGTTAGCCAGACAATAAAAGTCATTAAAAAAAAAAAATCACAAGGAAAATATATTTATAGTACCGTACTATGTTTATTGAAAAAAATCTGAATAGAGAACCTGTGCAGCTCAAGTCCATGTTGTTCAAGGGCCAAATGTAATAAAATAATGTCACTAAGTGAAATTTTAATGTATTCTAAAACCCAAAAGTCCTAGTTCTACTATATAATATACTGCCTCAGATTTACAGCAAATTATTTAGCCTAAGTCTCAACTTTCTCTTCTAAAAAAGGAGGATAATAAAATATATTTGTCCTGCTTATTCTCAGAATTGTTATACTAAAGATAACAAATATGTAGAAGTCTTTGGAAGGATATATAAACGTATGCCTCCCCACCATGTTATATTTTAAGTATTTTGTTTCTCTAATCACACAAGTAAACAGGTGTGCACTTCAGAGTCAATTCAAAAAATAAATGGGCAACAAAAATTAGGGACACTGCCAATTTTCACTCTACATTATAATTGAGTGGCTACTACTCAGTAAGAAAACAAAGTTGCTAATGTAGATATGCTCACCTTCTTCCTTAGAGTTTCAATACAGAATGGCTATCTCCTATGAAACTTGAAAAAAAAAAAAAAAAAAACAAAAAAAACCCCAAAACAGATACTCTAACTCCAAACCTAATGGATCAGAATCTCTAGTGGTGGAGATGTGAACGTGCCTGATTTTTAAAAGTTCCACAGGGGCTTCTGATAACTGAGAATCACTTGATCCTACTCACCTTTTTCTGAAACAAAATTCTTTTTTTTTTATTTTTTTATTTATGATAGTCACAGAGAGAGAGAGAGAGAGAGAGAGAGAGGCAGAGACACAGGCAGAGGGAGAAGCAGGCTCCATGTACCGGGAGCCCGACGTGGGACTCGATCCCGGGTCTCCAGGATCGGGCCCTGGGCCAAAGGCAGGCGCCAAACCGCTGCGCCACCCAGGGATCCCTGAAACAAAATTCTTGAGAATTACTATACTATTAGTATACTATACTATACTATACTATATAAATGAGCATTTTATGAAGGGAGTCACCAAATTAAAAAAAAAAAAAGCATTCACAGATCATTTGTCCTATTTCCTTGAATTAATATAAACAATTAAGCATTGATAGTTGCCTTAAAAACTAAATTTAATCACACATCAGCCTCCCTAGTCAACAGCTCCATCTACTGGATAAACTCAAGGAAAATCTTCCTATAACTTTACAACAGATTTTGCTTAAAAATGAACGAGGTTATAAAATTAAAACATCAAAGATCAGTATATTTCTCTTCTGCAGTATCCATTTGGTGGATATAGTTTTAGTAGATGGCTATTTTCTTGAATCTAGATAAAGACAACATTCAAAACTTTCTAAAAGTAGCTATGCCTGTTTACAGTAGAACATATTCCTAAAAACTGTTATTACAGTTGATGGTTTTTCTTTTTCTGTAATCATTTAAAACGTGCAAAGTGAAAAAAATAAAATAAAATATCCAGTGTGTTCTTTCTCAACTTGTCAAAATGATCTTACATGTTCAACAACTTTCCCTCCTGGTAAATCACAAAAGAAATTAAATTCATAAAGGTTCAAGGAACACAAAGGGGAACAGTAATCAGCAGATGGCTGATTTAGAAGAATTTCTGGTAGACGGAAAGGCTGATATGATCATGCTGGCACATGGACCACACTTAAGAGCATGCAAAGGAGAAAGCCAGAACAGAGATGAGATATTTTATGCCACAGAACTTTGCACCTTTCTTCCCTCATAAGCAGCAGTGAATAGTACAAAGGGCAGCAACTAAAGCGATTTCACAGCTTTGAAGTAGATAGACCAACATTTACCTAAGAGACGTTTCGAATGAATGAAGCAAAGGTAAAGAATGAGAAAACCTGAGGGTCTCTTTCAATCTGAGTCCATCAAATATCCTACAAGATGACTAAAACAAAATAAAACAAAACAACACATGCCACCTAAGCACCCCCTCATGAAATTTCAGAATTCCAAGTATAAATGTCTTAAAAGTTTCCAGATGGAGTGAAACAGGTCACCTGCAAAAGCATAACATCAGACTTCTTACGTAAAATAATACGTACTATTTCTTTCGCTGTTACTTACATGAAAAAGTTTTTCTGTCTTTGGAAAAACTGCAACAATGTCGTACAGCCGGACCCTTGAAGACGTTGCTCTCTGGTAGTACATAAAGAATGTTATTGTACAACAAAGAGTGCACACATGGAATTCTGACTAGTGGTCTGGCTGGCTTATATTTGAATCATGGAACATCTCTTAAATGCCACTTCTGCTTTGTCTTTTGACAGAAAAGACTGCCTAAGCACATGAGATTTTAGATTCCACCCATCACCCACCTTCCCGCATTGTTATACTTTAACTATGTACCAAACTGTGCTTGAAATATAAAAATCAAAGTGGACAGTTCTTGCTCTTACAAGCAAGTGGAGAAGGTTGCCAGACATTTACTGAGCATCTACTGTGCGCGGGGCACTGGCATATGAACTCATTTAAGGGTTCTCAATGGAACTCACCAATTTTTGTGTGTGTGTGAGACAAGAAGTACACATACTAAGCATAAGATCAGACTCATGATGAGAATACTGTTAGATATAAATTAAAATGCTAGATGTGCAAGAAAATACCTGATAGTCCTCTGACGGAAGGAGAGGTTTAAGTTATTGCTTAAAAATGAAAATCTCAAACTTACATTATATGTGATGCATAGGAAAAGGCTGGAAAACTATGCAGCTGAGTCTTGAATGTGCGTTTGCACTGCCCACCTTATGTGGATTTTTAAAAAAAATACAGTACAGTACCATAAGTATACTTTCTTTTTATGATTTTCTTAATAACACTTTCTTTCCTCAAGCTTACTTTATTGTAAGAATACAGTATGTACTACATGTAACATTAAAATATGTGCTAATAAACTGTTTCTGCTATTAGTAAGGCTTCTGGTCAAAAGGAAGGTATTAGTAGTGAAGTTTTTGGGGAGTCAAAAGTTATAAATGGAGTTTTAACTACATGGGGCAGGGGGCAGTACCCTCAACCTTAGCAATGTTGAAGGGCCAATTTTATGTTCAAATGTGTTCTCTGAATGATGGGATAATATATGATATTTCTTCTTTGCCTCTTTGTACCCTTAAAATTTTTACCTCTTATTTTGTAAAAAGAAAAGGCATTCTAAAAATCAGAGGAGGAAAGGGAAGGAGTGAAGGGAATGTGAAGTAGGCAGGAAGGGCTGCTGGGCAGACACGCTGACACAGGGCAGGCTCCAGGTCTTCCACAAATTGTCTTCCACAATTTTTTTTTTTTTTTTTTTTTTAGTAATGCTAATTGTCGTGAAGGAGGCCAGCCTTTCCTTGATGATTCCTTTTCTATGGCAGAGAAGTCCACTCCAGCTTAAGATAAAACTGCTCACCTTCTCAGAGATCCCACTTTCTGCCTCCTTCACTAGGTCCTCCCATTGGCAGGCATGCTCCTCTCTCCCACCTAACAAAACCCAGACAGCAGGTTCTTGTCCACTAACCTCCCTGTGTCTTATGTTTCCTATGGGGCCAACTTCTCGAGCTAAGTCAGCATCACACACTTGCCTGCATTTCCGCACATCCCTACCATTTCCATGGGGATGGTTTGTGCTGAGGCAATCAATAACTTCCCTTGTCAATAACCAAGACATGTCTGAGCCCTTCTCCCACTAGCCTGCTCGGGCCTGCTGATGCTGCTGACTCTTTCTTGCTTCTCTTCTCACTTTCCTCATTGTCTTCCCATTCTCACAGTCCTGCCTCAGCCTCCAATCCTAGCTCCTCCTCCTCTACTCCACCATTAAATGCTTAAGTTCCTTAGAACTCTGCCCTAGAACTTCTCTTTACACGCTGCACATGGACCAGGGATTCTTATCCATTGCCATGACTTCATTTACTCTCTACAGAGCGACTGACCGCTTCCAAATCAGTATCTCATTAGACCAGTCTTCTGAGGGCCATACCCCTTTTCTCACCTGTCCATTTGACAAACTCCACTGGAATTCTCACAATAATCCATAACGTTCCAAACACGATGCCCTCAAGCCTGCTCCTTTTTCTATATCCGGTCTCAGGAAATGGTACCACCATCTACATAGCAGGCTGATCAAGCCATGCCAGGGATTTATCAGACTATATCCAATCAACCATTAAATCCTGTCAATCCTCCACCCCCCACCAAGCCTCTCAAATCCCCCAACCCCTCTGATCCATTCCCTATAATGCAAACACCATAATTTCACTCCTTCAGTTAAAACCTTCAAGGGTCTCCAATTGCTCACCCAGACCTACCTCCCCAACCTTGTTCCAGATTAGCCAGCTCAATAGGCTCAGCCCCATCGGTGTTGTTTTGTTTCCCAGAAAACACCAGGTTTTCCTTGGATCCAGGACCTGTGCATAATCCACTCTGTCTGTGGGAACACTCTCTCTTCTGCTCAGCACTTATACAACACTTACTGATTCTTCCGGCCCAGGTTGGAACATCAACTTCCTCAGGTGGGCCCCACACTCCCAGAGCATCCTTTACTTATTACCCCCAACTATTTAAATATTCCTCACATTTTTAATTATCTGTTTAGTGCTCGTTTTATCATTAAACTATAACCTTTATAAGTTCAACAATTCTATCTCTATTATTCACAGCAATAGCCCCAGGACCCACGTTACGCCTGGTTTCATGTGAGTTCAATGAGTAATAGTTGTCAAAGTACTCTTTAATTGTAGTATCCATATTAATGTGTCAATAGTAGAACAGACTGTTAAGCTATATGAATTCTGAAGAAGAGAGTAGGGAGAGTAGGGAGGTGTCATGCCTGGGGGCAGGGAATATAAGAAGGGGATAAGGTGAAAACACTGTTACAACCCTGTTCAACATTAACCAGTACAACTTACAAGGTCAAAAAGAAAAATTAACTTACCAAAACATTGCAGTGAGATGGATCCGAAACAATAATTGTCAGTCTAGTTAAAACTTTAATTGGTCTTGATTTTCCCTATAATCAAAAGCATTCCATCAAAAAAACTCAAAATACAAACAATCGATTTTCTTCTTTATCAGTGGAAAAGTAGTCACTGAAAGGCACCGGCAGTAAAGGGTAGTGACAATCAATAAAAACTACTCTTCATTCTCAAGGAATTTATAATATAATTGGCAAAATAAAAATATACATGTGTCAAACTACATAACAGGATTACTCAAAGGTTATAGGAACTTCAGGAAAGAAGATCGCCAAAGAAGTACTGAATTGATAGCAAAAGGATGCTTCATGGAAGACCTAAGTCTTGTGGAAGAGTAAAACTGGTAGAGGAGGAAGAGTGCAGGGAAGAGAATCCTACATAAAATTGGACATTTCTGAATAGCTATTATGGTCCTTAAACAACAAGATACATACCTGTACCATTGGCAGAGTTGTAAAGAGTTCAGAAACAGCTACTGGTTTTTCAATTTCCTACAGTAAACAATGAACAGTCACCCTAGATTGTACATGTGAATGGAATGAAGCATAATGGAAAACTTACAAGGGGTTTTTGGAAAGTTAATTTCTGATATACAGAAACATTAAATACTTTTTTTTTTTTTTTTTTTTTTTTTTAAAAAAGGAAGAAAGCTGGACAGCCCCGGTAGCCCAGTGGTTTAGTGCTGCTTTCAGCCCGGGGTGTGATCCTGGAGACCCAGGATCGAGTCCCACGTCAGGCTTCCTGCATGGAGCCTGCTTCTCCCTCTGCCTGTGTCTCTGCCTCTCTCTCTCTGTGTGTGTCTGTCATGAATAAATAAATAAAATCTTTTTAAAAAAAATGGAAGAAAGCTGGAGAGCAGAGAAACAGCTAAGGACATCAATGGATATGTGGGGTGAAAAATAGCTTTTTGATTGAAATAATCTATAAGGTATAGTTGTTGGCCTGAAGATAAATAAACACATTTACAAGCATGTTTAAGAGGGAAATCAATTAGTAATGAGCCCATGTCAGTAAAATAAAAAGGACTAAATACTATAACTCAATAGCAATATACTTTTAAGAATTATTGAAAGTTATTTAATTAACATCAATTCAACTTTAAGAATCCTTCTACCACACCCTAATACTTCACAAAAAACTCTGCATTGGCTCAACTGTTAACATATAAAATAATATAGTACACAAGAGAGTGTATTTAAGAAATATACTCATCTGCAGCTTCCATATTACCAATACGAATAAAAACAATTGTAAATTTTGGTTATTATCAACGTCAGAAATTGTTTTTTTTACCTGTTTCTTTTCCTTAAATTCAACAACATGATTGATGGCAACAACCGAATAGCCCACTGAAAAGAAAAATGGAACATTCTTGTTAAATATAACAACCTCTCTCCTGTACACATAGGTTCAACTCAGCTCAGATCAAGAGCAGGGGTCTGTCGGGGCAGGGGCTGTGGGTTTGGACTGGTGTCAGACTTACCTCACACAACTGTCATGAGAAATAAATAAGGTAATAAGCATGGATGATTTATGGCACAGAGGCAGGGCTCTCTGACCTCTGTGATGTACTGTTAGCATGATACCTTTTTTCACTTGATCATTTCTTTTGCTTTTTACCCTTTCTACTTCCTTCAGAGGTACTTTTTCTAGGGAGAAATGGAGTAATTACTCCCTCACACCACTGCTCACTTCCCCTTCCCAGCTGCCCACCATCAGTAGATTGGGAACTCTGAGGTCAGGGCCTTGCTTTATCAGACTCTATACAGCATTAGTCTGGACACAGGACTACCAAAAACATGTCTGAATCATGATTCCTATCTCTAAATTATTTAAACACCAATGGGAAGGACAAGGTACTGATATTAAAAGATAATGCATATTAATGCCAGAAGAGTGGTTTTTCCCTCTCCTCGGTTTGTCTGATTTCCTTCTTTCCTTCCTCCTTCAAATAGTTATTGAGCATCCATTGCTTGCCATGCTCCACAGAAACCTCCTGATTTTTAAACTTCTCTATCCCCACACTTTGCAGAAGACAACAGTTATGATTAGCTCCAATAATTAAAACAGGGTCTTATCTCTCCCGGCTTTTGCTCCCCTTGGATTCAAACGAGTAACATGCCAGCATTCTGGCCTTGCTGTTCCCCTGCCACCCGCCTAGTACGTCTCTCCCCCGCCCCACCTCCCCTTCTTAAATCATTCCCACAAGGTCACCCTCATGTCCCTCCGCCCCTTCTCTGAATTTCCACAGCATTCCCCGTCTGTGCCCGATTCCCCAAACTGCTCTGATACTACTGGGAGGCAGACAGAGGTGATACTAAAAGCACTAGTGTAGGAGATTTACACACTTGGAAGCCCTGGCTTCTGGCATCCACTAGCCGTGGGGCTCTATGCAAATCTCCCATCCTGTCGGAGCCTCAGTTTTTCCAGTTTTCAGGGGAGAAGAACGATGAACTAGGTAACAGCTCCCAAGTGCTTTCGAGTTTCCCGCGCCCGGGATCTAAGCAACACCGCGGCAGCATCAGCTAGCGGGGACGTATCCAAGATCCCCGGGGACCTGAACGAAGACAGGCCTTCGCTGTCCCTCCTGAACGTGGCCTGATGGTCTGGGGGGCAGCGAGGCTGGGCAGGCACCGCGGCCCGCAAAGCCGGGGAGACTCACGGTGAGCTGCGTTCTCCACCAGGCCGCGCAGCGCCTTTAGGTCGGAACCCGCCCGCAGGTCCAAATCCGCGAACACAGCCATGCTGAAATCACATGACCGCCGCGTATCCGTCTGCGCAGCCGCGGGGCCCACCCCTCTGGCATGCTGGGAATTGTAGTTTACCTGCTCAGTCCGCGCCTTCCTTCGCTTGACTTAGGTGTTCACGTCAGGGTTGGAAGTCCTTGCTTCGCCTTCAGGTATCAGCAAAAGCTAGCGTGTTGAAATCCACAGCCTCACTTCAGCCCTTCTTTGCCTTCTGAATGAGAATGTTGGGGATCTCTCGGAGGCAGGCGTTCACATCTCCCATCATTCCTCCTAGAAAATATTGTGGAAAGTGATTCCTTCGCGAACCGGACACTTCTGCCAAGAGCTAGAAGCACTTTTGAAACAGACGTAAGAGACTCTTCTGATCCCCGCCTCCTAACGTCCATTCTGTTGTTTAAAATGGGCTTGTCAGGAAGTGAGAGAACTGAGCCGGAGACCTCGGAGGAAGGGGACGCGCGGTCCCCGCGCGCGGCTCTGGCTTCGGCCGGTATCCTCAGCCACGAGGTGGCAGGAGCCCCTGGGAAGAGCGGGGAGCTCCGGCGCTGCCTTAGCAGGACAGCTTGGGCAGGGCACGGGCAAAATTGAAATGTGTCAGTTTTGCCATCTGACGAGTGTGCGCAGTGGTCTGTATCCCACACGTTTGGCGTTTCCATGTTTTTGCGCCTCATTTAAATGAGCTCTTGAAGATTGATAAATTATCCGACAACGTAGTATTGCGGAACTACAGTTTGCATCGGTGCTTCTCAAGCTGCGACGAAGGGCCTGTCTCCCCTCCAGCCCATCCTACCGCACCCTATCCCGCCTCCAATTCTTCGCAGGCTCCTACGTGGTCCCTTGTGCATTACGGGTAAGCATCTCTGGGCCTCTTAAAACTGATTTGACAACAACCGAATTGCCCTCTACTCAGTGAAGAAGAAAAGTACATTGATTGGGGGCTTAGATACCCAGACAATACCAAAGTGATGCAAATGTTTCTAAACAGTTTCAATTTCTGTACTTAAAACAAACAGTACATAGATGGTCTCTGGTATATCGAGCACACCTTGGTTACACCTTCTTTACATGATTTCTTTCCTGATTTCGGAATGGAATTTTAAGAGGGCTCTGTTCCATGGGGTAGCATGCACTTCTCCTTTTGGTTAAACTTAACAAAGAAGAAATATTTTTGCTTTTTCTAATACTTGATATTTCCTAAGTAAGAACAGAGGAATTTTTTACTTCTGCAAAGAGAACAAGGTCATGCAAAGCAAATTCTTCTTTTCATCAGAAAATCTAGTGTTAATTTTGCGGGATCATACAGGCATCTTCACCTATGACCACAAAAGCTAGATTGGTCAGAAACGTGACCAATGTGTGGTGAAGGCGAGTAAGATAACTGATTCTTTGATGTCAGCATTAGATTAAAGAGGGCTTCTTTCTTGAAAAGTCATGGTGCTCTTGCTGTAAACTATACCATTTAGATTTCTTTTCTCATCTTCACCCCGGGGCTTAGGGGTGAAGAAGAAGAGATAGGAGGAGAAAGAAGACGAATAGGTAAGAGTCACTGAACACTTTACTGAGGGACATTTAATTTGGACAATTGGTAAGTACTTACTTAGATATCTTATTTAATTTTCAAAGCAACTGTGAGTTAAGTACTGTTTTTTTTTTTTTTGCCTTTTTTTTTTTTTAAACAACATCTGCATTTTACATCTGAGAAATATATGGCTCAGGTAATAGTGATAGAAGTTCAGGAGGATCCGGAAAGTTTGGCTCAGTTTTCCTTTCTCGTACAATTTTCTGCACAAAGCAAGCAGGGACGAGAGTTAGAGGTTGTGAAGGGAGGAGGGAGAGAAGAGGAGGGGAAGGAAGAAGAAAATGGTGGGCTAGAGGGGAAAGAAGAGAGGAGGTAGAGAAGGATGTGGAAGAGGAGCAGGAGCATTGGGAAGAGGGATAAATAGTATGGGATAGTGACAGCAGAAAAAAAATGGGAAGAAGGGTCAGAGGTTACCCTGCAAGGAAAGCTGAAGCAGCAAGGCTCTGGAATTTGAAGGAGACCCTGAAAATTTCTGCCTGGAAAATAATAGGACTGCACAATTATTCTATGTACTTTGTATCCATTATCTCATTTATCCGTTTTATATCCACTTTGTATCCATTATCTGATTAATTATCACAACCAGACAATGAGGGAGAGAGATATTGTTATCCCTGTTATATCTAAGGTCAGAGAAGGTGGACGGCTCTTGAGTCATTTCCTCTTCCTTGGGGAATTTAGAAAGAAAGGGTGGCTTGTGGCATCTAAAGCAACCTTTGAGCCCTTCTTGGTCTCCCCAAAGGCCTGTCTTTCTTGAGCTGACCCCCAAAAGTCAGCATGTGTTCAGCTAATCTTCTACCTCTTTTCACTTGGTTCTCCTTTTGTGAGCACTCCACGGGGCTGCTGTCCTCTGGCAGCTTATGACTGAAACGGGGTGGGGGTGGCAAGGCAAGAAAGCAATATTATAACATGATTTTCACAGGTGTTTCAGGAGCATCTGGCAGGCTCTTCTCTCCCAGATAGAGGGGGAGTTTGGGAGATTTGGAGGAGATAAAGTCTGTTTTCCTAGATGAGAGAATGCTTGATATAAATTTTGATGCATGGAATTGAGAAGTAACAGGATGCAGAGGTCTGGAGTTTATCCAGAACTAGAACAAAGCAGGTGGTGCTCAGTCAAAATTTGCAGATTTAATCAATGAAGCCATGAGCTCTTGTTTACCTTCATACCCACATCATCACAGCTGTGGCTGTTGGATGTATTCAATTATCTAAACACATGGCCAGAAATTCACTGAACTGTGCATATGGTACCCTGGCATGATACACCAGCAACCCAAAAAGAACCCCCTCTTATTCCCAAGGATGGAACACTTACAGGAGCTCCTGTGCAGATTGAAAAAAGGTGCCCTTCCTCTAGGCAGACTTTTATGTGCTCCCATTCACCACATGGCTGGTAAGGCTGTGCAGTGAACAATATGCCCAACTTTTCATAGAGCTCCTGATAAAACATACTAGGGAAGTTAATTGCTAAACCTAGAACTCTAATGGGACTCCATAAGACATCACTGATACAGGAAGCCTCTTTCAATAATTCCCCTCTCATATTCTTGTCTTCCCATAGAAACTCCCATTCCTGACCTGATATCTTTCAATTTTGTCCATTTTCTGAGCCAGAGTAGTCTATCAATGTTTGCAACGTTAGTTGCTGTTTTTTTTAATGTGCAATTAAAATGAAAGTGAAAGGTCTTTTATATCTATGTTTCTATCAAAAGTTTGAAAATGAAAAACAGATGGAGGAAGCTCATATATTATAAAAATTAGCCTTGTGAAAATAAAGAATATTCTTACCCTTTTAAGATGCAAAGTATGCCTATAATAACAAAAGAATACAACTTAAGAAGACAATAGGAAAGAAGTTGAAGGAAGAGCTAGTATTTGGAAAAGATGTGTGATGGTAAACTTAATGAATGGAGAGAGGAAGACTGAAATTTCAACCAGGGGGTTGATTTTTTAATACAAGTGAAATATGTAGTTGTATTAGTCAGGGTTATCCAGAGAAATAGGACCAAGAAAGTGTGTGTGTATCATATGAATGATTGGTTTAGGAGATTATGGAGGCTAACAAGTCCCCAAATCTTCAGGTGGCCTGCTGAAGACCCAGGAGAGCTGCTGATACAGCTCCAGTATGAAGGCCAGCAGGCTTAAGATCCAGAAAGAGCTGATATTTCAACTTGAGTCCAGTGACAGAAAAAACAAAACAGAAACATTGTCCCAGCTTAAAGAAGGATCACTCTTTTTGTTGTATTCAGGCCTCCAACTGATGGATAGAACTGCCCGTTTTAAGGAAGTTAATTCTGCTTTACTCAACCAACTGATTCAGATGTTAATCTTATTCAGGAAAAAACCCCCATACATACCCAGAGTCATGTTTGAATAAATATATGGGTACCCTATGGCCCAGTCAAGTTGATAGATAAAATTAGCCATCACAGTGATAGTGCCTTGAAATTATGGCATATTAAATGAAAACAAAAATTGCTCAGGCAACAACTACAACTTCTTAACCAAAGGCAAGTTTACAAAGAATGTTTGTTGAAAGTGAAAGAAATAACAGGTCCTAAACAGAAATTAGCATTTAGGAACATAATAACTACAAATTCTATTGCTCAGTATGTTGGAAAAACAGCTCGGAACTTGCAGGATAAATGGCATTTAAAAATCAAGTTATTGGGGATCCCTGGGTGGCTCAGTGGTTTGGCGCCTGCCTTTGGCCCAGGGCACGATCCTGGAGTCCCGGGATTGAGTCCTGGGATCGAGTCCAGCGTCGGGCTCCTGGCATGGAGCCTGCTTCTCCCTCTGCCTGTGTCTCTGCCTCTCTCTCTCTCTCTATGTCTATCATAAATAAATAAATAAATCTTTAAGAAATCAAGTTATTTTGGGGCATTTTCTATTGCAAGTGGATAATCAAGTAGATAAATAAAAGCTATGTGTGTTGTTGAAAATTTTGGTATGACTAAATATCATCTGGAAATGGTGTCCCCAAAAGGCACATCATTAGGAAGTGGCTTTTTGTGTGTGTATGGAGAAGAATTTTGAGAATTTTAAAGTAGATTTGTCAGAATTGGTAACCATGATTACAGATGGGATTCCTGCAGGGGTCATTTTTAACATCAGACTTATGAAACATAAGCACAATGTGACAAGATTCTGTCAAGATGCAGAATTTTAGCCAGTTTGTTGTACCGTTGACTAGAAACCATTTTGAACTCTAAACTTTAATACTTACAAAAATAACAGCCATGGTAGTTAACCACATAGTTCATGTTCCAAATAGTTATAAATGGATGTAGTGGATGCTGAGAAAGTTTTGAATTGCAGAAAGGAGATTTAC